TTGGTTAGCATATGCCTGTGGGTTATGTTATACCCTAGTCATACTTGAGGAGGGGCATATAGTCCCTGGGTCTTGCTGCGTGAGTTTATGCTCTTGAACAGTCTGGAAATAGCTGCTTGGTTTTACCTTTGCCCAGTACTGGTCTGGCAGAGTTTGAACAGATCTTGTGGAGAAGTGTGGTATCCAAAGCAGGCAGGTCAGCACTGGGAGGGGGAGACCCTTCACAGAGATGGGCTCAGTCTGTTTCCAGGGAAAGAGAAGCTCCCCCTGGAAGAAGAGAGAAGCTGTGTTCTTTCTCACTTAACTTGCCCCTGCAAAGTGCATAAAGCTTTTCCCATGTTCTGGAAAACAGGTCTGTTGTTGACAGCTTCTCAGAGGCAAAGCATCTGGCCTTTCCTCTTGCAGGCTCTTTCTGGACTGGATGCAAGCTGTTGTGAAGTTAACAGGAGCTCTCCTCCAAGCAGATAGCAAGATCTTACCAGCTCACTGGCCAAAGCAGAACAAGCCCCCAGTTCAGCAATGCAGCATTTCCCAACCTTTTCCATCCCACAGCATGGAAATTGTGGCACACCACCCCGCACTGCTACCACCCCACATGGTGGGGGGGGTGACATATGGCATTGGCTGGGGCCATGCCCCCCTGCCACAAGAGCATTATGGACATACACGGACAGACTCTTCCAAAATTCCATGGCACACCTCTTGATGTCTGAAGGCCACAGCAGTGTGCTGCGGCACACCAGTTGGGAAACGCTGCAGTAATGTTTTCCCTGCTTTGCTAGGAAACTGCTGACTGGCATTGCAAAACCCAGCGTGCCAAGCCTGGCTAGTGCAGCCACTAAGAAGCTGTCAGTCAAAGGTGTCTCTTCTTTAGAAATGCCATCCATCTGCAGAAGACAGGTTTGCCTATGCAACCAACGTTGCCTTTTTCCTTGATTTACAAGAGAAAAGTACATGCATGTGGCTAAGACCTGTCTTGGCTGTGGGAGAGGAGCACCAATTGCTGGGCCTCATAGTGCAGGTGAACTCCAGGTGGTGGTGCTCCTTTTTTTAAATTTTGCCTCTAGTTCACATGCCGTGATCGGTGTGGATGAGATACAGCAGGACTGAGCCCAAGTCTTTAACCATATAACATCTGCACCAGCTCTTATAGGTAGTGTGCTGTGACACTAAACAGTGGGGACTGCTGACAGCCCCTCTGCTGACACTGATCTCCTTGGGAGCGTGCAGAACTGTGACGTTTGGTGTTGCTCCAGAAGGAAGTGGGTCTTTGCATTTCAGTTCCACTCCCCTGGTGCATTCCTTACTGGGCATGCCTTGTTCTTGCATGCTTCTGTACTGAGGTGGAAGCATGTTGTAACCCAGGATGTATTAGTGAAGTGTGTCAGCCATGGCCTGGGCAGGGGCAGTGCTGAGGGCTGCCAGGCTTTCATCCCTCACATGTAGCACATACCCCATGAAGGAAAGTCTTAACTACAGCAAGGAGTTTGCTCTTCAGGACTCTGATCTGTGACCGATTCAGTGCCAGCATGTGGGGTGCGTGCCAAACAGGATAGGGACTTATAGCCACTCTGGAAAAGACAGTGACTTTCTGTCCCTTTTAAAAGAAGTGGGAAGTTGATTAACTCTAATCGAAGAGTCTGTCTCTAGGGCAGAGCTTTCCAAACTTTTCATGTTGGTGACACACTTTTTAGACATGCATCATTTCGCGACACAGTAATTCAGTTCCGGGGGAGGGGCCAAGGGAAGCAGACGCGAGTAAGGGAGCTCCGCGGTGCCCTTCCGCAAAATTTTCTGCATTTCGTGCGACACACCTACACACTGCCGCCGACACACTGTGTCGTGGCACACAGTTTGGAAAGCTCTGCTCTAGGGGTTGAGATATGAAGTTGCTGCAGAGCACTGTCTGGCCCTGCTCTGGTCCCTGCTGCTTCCCCTATGCCAATGGTCTCCACGTACTGCCTCATGCCTTGCCTTTGCCATCTCTTCCTTGGGGAGAAGGGACTAAAGGCTTTCTCCAGCAGACACGGCTGACCTCCAAGGGTGTGGTATAAGGTAGGGTCGGAACAGGTGAGATGATGAGACCTCAGCCAGGCTATTCCAGGCTGTGCTTCCTCCTAGTCTGAGCCAGAGAGGCAAGTGCCAGCTCTGAGAGGGGGGAAGGAAAGTGTGAAAGTACCAGGCAGCAATGCCTGGCATGTTCAGGGTGGGGAAGGGGGGTGCAGAAGAGGTCCATCCATTATGGAACGGGGGCATTTTTCCAGGACAAAGTAATAAAGAGGACAGTATGTAAATCTCTACCTTGCTTTGGGATGCCAGGACAGCTTCTTTCAAGCTTCCTTTGGAGGCAGCCCCCTCCCACTTAGCCTGCTCCTTTGAGCACCTGCTTCAACACAATTTCTGACTCCTGTGATTTAATCATGATTCTCAGTATTTTGGGAGCATAGGGCAAGAGGAAAAGCTCATCTGTCTCCCCAGAAACTGCTACAGAAGGCTGCTGCTGCACCACTTCCCCTATCCCTATGTCTCATCACTGTCACTAGGGCTGAAGTCAGCAAAATATGTCTATTATTTCCAGGACTGCCCTTAATAACTGTGGGTGTTCTGCCAACCATTTCTCTTTGAGACTGAAGCCCTGCCTCCAGGCAAAGTGGCAGCCACTCTGTGGTACAAGGGCTGAAGAGGACACTAGGGGTCAGTCCCCACATGTGGGGGGAGGGGGTGCTTGTAGAAGCACAAACAGCAGCAGCACAAGTTTGTCACTGCTTTGTGACGTACTGTATCCCCCTGCACGCATGCTTTGGCATGCCGCAAATTGTTCTGGGTAGGGGAGGTTGGGGCCAGCACCTACTGCTCCATTTTCCCAGGAGCTTTTTGCTATTGGGTTTTTCACATTCCCCACATGCAGTTTTTGGCACAGAAGGCAGTTTGTGCTGCCACAAACTGCATGCCCCAGCACATGGGGACCTACCCTAGGAGAACACAGGCCCTGTGAAAAACTAAAAGAGGGGCAAAGGGAAAATGAATGGTGCAGCAGCCTGATTTGTGGGGGAGGGCTCATAGGATGCCTGAGAGGCTGCGCACATAAGACTAGGGACAGACATTATACATAAACTGTTTTAAGTGATCAGAAACTGGTTTAAACCTGTAACTGAATAGATGTTCAGTGCACATAAACCAGTTTGAAAATGGCTGAAACTGGTTTGAGATAAACCTGGTTGAATGTAATAATATCAGACTTAACTGATTTGGCTCAAACCGGTTTATGCAATGTCTGCCCTTCCTGGTTTAAGTTAAATAAGAATTCTCCAGCATCCCAGACGCTTTGCAACTCTGGGCAGGGCTCTGCTCCAGCCTGGCAGGACTGGCACCTCCCCTTTGCTCCCTGGCTTGAGGTAGAGACTTGCAGGCAGAGCAGGGTTTTGTGGCTTCTTCCTGCTCAACACCCCCCCCCCCCCCCCCCCAATCCCCGTTCAAGCAGGGATCCTTCCCTCCTCTCTGCCTTACACAGATGCCTCTCAGTATTAACTAACATATCACATGCTGGCTTTGGTCCATGCTATGGGAGACAGGACAAAGGCAGACAGGACAGTGTCCTCAGGGCTTTTTGGAGCTAATCAACAGATAGCTGGTAATGTCCCTCCATTCCTTCCTTGGAAAAAAGTTATTTAAGAAGAGTTTGAATGAATGAGAGAAGCTTTTTGTTTGATTGGCTGATAAATGCTAACAATTCTGTGTAACTCAGTGCTCTGTTATCAACTCCCTACTGGCTCCCTTGCTGGTCAGTGAGGGGTGGCTGTGGTATGGTGGGAACCCCTCCCTAATCAGAGCATCTTGCTGGAGCCTGGCCATGCCCCCTTCCACTCAGCAATGCGGAAGGGAAGGGAGGGTTGCTCTAGTGCTCCCCAGCCTCTAGCCTGAGCCACTGCAGGCATGTACCTTCATTTCTTCAGTCCAGAGGGGATGTACTGTTACAAACCAGTTTAGCCTAACCTGCAAAGATTGAATCATTTCAGGCTTTCTGAATGTCCCTAGCCGTAAAAGAAGCCAATTCATACAGAGTAGATGTGAAGAGGGGTTTGGCACCTGCCACAGACAAAGCAAAGGGTGCCAGGGAGTTTCCACAGGTAGATTAGACCCTGCTTTTTTTTTGCTTCGTTTCCTCTTCCCACAGGCGACCCAGCTGCCTGACGCAGACATTCCAGTCATGGACAACAAAATGGAAGGTACCTGGTTCTCCAGACAGGATCTGTAAAAATTAATTGCAAGACTGCTCTTCCAAGCTCTGCATCTGAGCAAGCTTCTGAGTAGAAAGAATGATGCCTGCTGACACTGTCTTTTTGGGATGCTGTTTGCTAACCTGTCTGAAGACTGTACCATATAGAGGCCATGTGAAGAAGACATGAAGGCTGCTTGTAACCAAAGCTTTTCAAGACAAACTCTACATAAGCATGACCCCTGCCCAGCTTCCCCTTTTTCCTTTATAAGATTGGAGCTTTGGGATATGGTTGAAGCAGGTGAGGTTCCAATAAGCCATGTCTCTTTTGAGAATTTCTCCCCAAGATAGCTCACTCTATTCAGCACACCTGGAGCTGGTCCTTTATGTAGTTAACTGTCCACAGGGTGGTTCCTCCCCACATCTGGAAGGGATGAGGGCCAACCCTTGCCTTGATTTCACCTCTATTCCTACTGTCATTCTAGCAAGAGCAAACAAGCTATTCCAGTAGTGTGCCTTTGCATTTACTACTCGGCAGTGAGTCCAGGATGACTCTTAAAAATACATACAAACAAACAGAGCTTGCAAGCTCTGATCAAATAAACTTAGACTGCCAACAGCCTAGACTTCTCTTATTCTCTGGCTGCTTCAACTATTTAAATACACTCTATTTCACAAGGGACAGACTTCAACTTTGTTGGATGGCAATGGCTAGAATTTTATTGTTTTTGGAGATCAGTTTCATCTCCTTCCCAAGCTTTTCCATGACAGGTGAGAAGAAATAACCAAGCAGTCACTAATATTTATTAAACTGGGTAGCCTGGAAAAAGTAGTCTGCAATCAACCAGATGAAATTCAACAAGGATACGTCCAAAGTTCTGTGCTTGAGAAGAAATACCTGCATGCACAAATACAGTCTGGGTATGACTGGTTAGGCTGTAGTACTGCAGAGGACCTAGGGGTTACAGTAGACCATAAGCAGAATATGAGCTGCGTGATTTTTTGGGGGGCAAAAAGCAGCCAATGGCACTGGTTGTATTAACAGGTGTTAATAATTCAAGCAGGATGAGGAAAGACTGCAAAGAGCAAAGTGGATAGCAACAAAAATTATTGGGCAGCTAGGGTTTAGTCTGGAGAACATAAGACTGAAGGGAGATTTGATAACAGTCTTCAAATACCTGAAGGGTGATTATAGAGAGGATGAAGATGGGTTTCTCTCTATGGGAATATGGGACAGGACTAGGAGCAGAGGCCTTGAGCTGCAGCAGGGGAATATTAGGTTGGAGATTAGAAGGAACTTTCTGGTTATGGAGGGTGGTCAACCATTGGTTCCCTAGAGAAGCTGTGGAATCTTTTTACCTGGATATTTTCAAGAGGTTGGACAGACGCATAGCAGGGATGATCCTGCCTTGAACAGGGGGCTGGACTAGATCACCTTGTGAAATCCCTTCCACCTCTTTCTCAAGATCCTATATTCTTGTAATCTGCTTTATTATTGGAGTCTGCAGAGTCATGTTTTTCTTCCAACCTTAGTGTGGGGAGGGCCTAATGTATATGTAAAGTGAGAAAGCAAAGATTTACTTGAGCCACAGAGCTGGTAGATAGCTTAACCAGCCACGAAAGATGTGATCACCACCTTGCCAATGTGCCACAGACCTCAAGGCAAGTCCAAAAAAAAAACTTTAGTTTCCAACAAAAAAGTATCACAGCGTGTTGGCAATGACCAAAGATTCTCCAATAGCTGGACCAAAACCCACTGAATAGCTATCAGAAAGCCAGTGCTGTCCAGAGCTAACTTTGCATACTCCTTACCCCAGATAGAAAAGAGCCATCTCACCACCATTCCCCAACTCATCTAGATCTCTTGCAGGTCTTACAATGAAAGCAGTGCAGTGAGATCAGGGTCTGTCTTTTATTTATATACAAACATTATGTAAAAGCATTGACAGTTTGCTTTTCTGAGCGCAAAATAATTCACTCCTGACACCATACAAAGCCCTGAAGAACATCTGGAAAAATCAATCCACAAGGAATTAAACATCGCCCACTGGTGTCAAATGGATATTTGACTCTATACAGATCACACTTTAACTATTACAGTTGAGAGCCAGGGTCATGCTGTGACCAGTTTCAAAATTCATGACCCAGAAGTCTCAGCTGGTCCGGGGGGGACAACAGTCCCACATTCATTCATCCAACCCAGTTTAGCAAGTGGGATATAAATGATCACAGAGCAGAAGTTCACATTGTATTTTGATGCCATGCACTAATAGGGAAGGACTTCATCAGCTGGACTAAAATGAAATAGAAGCTATTGAAAAAGGGGGAGTCAGCTGAGATTCCCTAAAGCACCTTGTGCTCCTCATTCTCAACAGCACCAGCTGGTTTTCTCCTTCAATCTTCATTCCCTCTTCCCAGCACTTACACACAGAACAGCAAGCAAAGAGTAACTAGTGCTCATTTGCTTCCCATTATGTTGCAGCCATGGACAGTGGTTCTCCAGAGAGTTTTACCACAAACCCAATTTGGCTCAAAGGGCAGAAAATTCATGTTACGTAAGTTACAGTTAGAACTTGATGGCCGTTTAACAACAGTATGCTTAAATAAAATTAATTAAAAAACAAACACCAACTTCTAGCTTGCTGCACTGAGGTATTACATGCTACCTGCATCACACTGCCATCTTGTGGCAAGTGAGGGCACATCAGTCTCTAGGTAAAATATGGTGGGTTGAGGGTGATTCACAAGTAGCCACCCCCATTTCCCCCCATGTTATATGTCAATAGAACACAAAACCCAAGGTAAGAGATACAAACCCACATGCACAGGGGGAAAACTAAGACAGGGACCTGGTGTATGCAGCCAGCCATATACATTCCTTTGCAATACATGACACAGATTCAATAGGCGTGTTCTGGGTCCATGGGAATGGCTGGAGCAGAGCATGATGAAGATTCAAGCTCTCTCATGGGATGGGAGTGTGAGGCCTCTTCAGGAGTCCACTCATCTCCCCATCCCTTACTCCTATAATACAGTTCTCTTAACTGAAGACAGCCAATCTGGTGGACAGATTTGACAAGACAAAGACATCTAATGAGATCATCACACCCACTGTAGTCATGACTGGCTGCAGACTTGAAACCAGGGATCTTGGTGGCAAAGGCTAATGGCTGAAGACTACATCACTGAACTTAAGGTAAAAGTTTACAGAGGAAGAATAAAGGTAAAGGAAAAAAATCTCACAGTAGACAGCTAAATCTCCAGTAATGTCTTTGACAGCCTGATCCTACCAAATACCACCGAGTTAATGGGATCATGCGAAAACCCACCTCCTCTGAACTTCTCACCTTATCCTTTATTCTCCACTAGACTCAAGATAGGAAAGGGGAAGAAATGCTTTATAGTTTCATAGTTGGTAGGGTTGGAAGGGACCTGAGTAGATCATCAAGTCCGACCCCCTGCCATGGCAGGAAAGAGTACTGGGGTGAAACGACCCCAGCAAGGTGTTCATCTAGCCTCCAATGCTGAGATCCAGAGAAAACACAACCCCCATGATGGTTCCCCACTGCCCTTCAGCAATACCCAATGCCAAATGTTCCCTATATTCTAAATCACGCAGGACTTCAGCAGACCTGCTGCTGCTGCTCCCTTCCAAAGCCAGGCAGTGCAAATCTGTGGGGGTAGAAGGAAGTCTCCTCAGCCCACGCTTGCAGGCATGAAGTTCCAGTACCTGCTGACTTCTGCCACAGTGCCTGAGGGTTTGATTCTTAAAAGGGGCAAAGCAAGGCTTATATCTTTCCCTGTGCCCAAAACATGGCAGATACAGGGTTAGCTAGTTCTCACTGTAATGCACCAGCTAGGGGCAGCCCCATGTGTCCCTTCATGACCATGTGGGCCACTACACCCCTGGAGGGAAGACTGAAACCTCAGGAGACACTGCAGCAATGGGCTCAGAGGCTCCAAGACTCAAAAGCTATTCACCAGAAATAAGCCTCATCTCTGACCAGGCCTGTCTGCCCTCTGTAAGTGGACCTGCTACTTTTCCCATCCTCCCAGGGCAAGGAAAGAGCTGATTAGGCTTTAGAGGAGGAAATGTGCTTTCCTCAGCAGCAGATGTAAAGAAAATAAGCAAACACTGTTTCTAAAATAAAACCTTCCCTTTCATGCTGCATAGCCCATGGAGGGCAGCACTTTTGCCTTTAGCAAGTCATGCCTGTCTCACAGCCAGTCAGCAAACAGCCTACAAGCAAGGCCTGGCAGGGGAGCAGACCACAAGTATTCAACAGAAGCTGCCTGCAGAGGCATCATGCTGCCTGTGGTAGACTTGGCCCCACCCAGGGATGGACGGATAGACAGACACAAAGGTGTCCTTGCCTTTCACAGATGATCTCAAAAGCATAAAACTGTAACTCTTAACAAATTACATCTCTGCTTTCACAGAGACCAAGAACAGAGCATATAAAGACGATCCCAGCCCCTCAGGGAGTAGCGCACACCCCACGGCACCTTCACAGATGCTAGGAAATACAGGAGATATCTGCATGTGGCAGAAGGACAGTGACTGGGCAAGAGCCTTTTAGAATGGCAGTTGCATGTGCTGCCAGTTAAATGATACCTGCCTTGTACAATAATGGTCTCCTTTAACGGAGGCTACTAACAGTGACTTTCCTGGAGGGTCCCAAGGGATGAGGTAGGAGCAGACCACTGTGTGGCTACCAGGGGGGTGCATATACAAGGGAAGGAAAGTCTTCTGTACAATGCCTCTCATTCACAATCCTACTTACAACTTGCTGTATAATAGCCACGAGGGTGAGAACGAGAGAGACTGCTGGGAACAGCAAGGCATGTGCCGTAGCGCTCTGTGGTGCAGCCTAGCCTAGCTACTCTGTGCACTCATACCGGCATATGAGCTCTCAGGGGCTTGCAGCTCCTATGGTCAGTGAGAGCACTGGAGCTCTAAAGGCATTCAAAGCTCTTTCAAATGGAGGGAAACTAAACACACACCACCAAAAGGGGAAAGAATAGAGCATTCTGCACGCATAGGTCGGTACGGCAGCAGGGAGGAGGTGACAATGTTGCTGGCTGCCTGGGGCACTGTTAGCACATGCGCTTGTATGTGTAGATGTAGGCTTTACAGTTGGGGCAGGTGTGTGTCACGTCCTTGAAGTCATCTATCAGACACGGGAGAAAGCAGCAGCCCGCATCACATCTGGAACAGAAGGAGAAAGCACAACCATGTGAGTTGGAGCCAGGACATAATGGACAGCCTGACAGCCAGGACTATGCCCTTAAGGCCACAGCCTCCTGGACACAGTTCTCAGACACAGGACAGCAACACACCTGGTGGAGGAATCCTGGTAGCATATTATATAGGAAACTGGGGGACACTTCAGAGGAAAAAAGGGGGCTTAAGCCCTCCAGCATAGGAGGGAGATCATAAGACAGCGTGTTGCTAATGGGTTACAGGGGGATGACTCTTCCTTGGCTGACATGCTTACAGAAGGGAGGTACACAATGCACTCTGCCTGGCTGTAGCCAGTGTTACCCAGGAAGTCTGGCAGCAGGCAGGGCACTGTGTCTGCAACATACATACCAAAACCACACACGTCAAATCTAGGAGCTGCTGTGACAATGCTGAGGGAGGGTGCTGCCTGGTTGGAGCCTTGGGCTGGCTCCCCATACTGCTAAACAGCCATATCTACACTCTGGGAGGATTTTCGTTGCAAACATTCCTTTGGGCCGAATACATGCACAGCCCCTCTGGCAGGCTGGGAAGTACCAGGCCTTTTAAGACTCATGTTAGAGAAAAGGTGGTATTTAATTCAATTTAAAAATCCCTCCGTATTGAACAGGAACCCACACAGAGCCTGCAGCTCCAGGATCAAGCACAATCACTGCTTCACAGCATAGAGCCCACCGGAAGGAGGCACACATTGCCACTGGATTCCATGCATCAAACTGCTCACAGGCTCTCTACAGAGGAAACTGTTCATGACAGAAGCTCTCTCAATACACAGTTGGGCAGCTTCCTACAAACCCTACAGCAGATAGCAAGGGCATCCCCAACAGAGCCCATCTCCAACCTGCCTCAGTCTCAGCTAAAAGGAAATAACTGCCAAAGGGTCCCCCAGAGGAGTCTAAATGCCGGTGCAGCATAGAAGAGGAAAACACACACACAAGCAATAGCCTGGGACCTGCATGCAGGCTCACTGCCTCCCAGCCTAGTCCCTCCTTCAGCAGTGCAAAAAAAACCTGGCTAAATCTCGGTCCATTTGGAGTCAGCAGGGGACAAAACAGCTCTGGAAGAGCAACCATGTAATGGAGAAGAGGGCCAGTTTCATACAGACATGGGTCATCCACCACTGCAGCAATGAGGCCAATTCTTCCCTTCCCAAATCCATCCACAACCTGCAGCTGGAAGGTCCTAGGGGAGGATGAAGCTCTCCCAGTCATAGCACGTACCCAACAAAGCAGCAGAAGAAGGCGAGGAGGAAGTTCATGAGCCCTACTTCATACGTGATCTTGGTAGTAATGGCCTGCTGGCAGTGAGGACACACTGTCTGCACAGGGGCACCTTGAAATATTTCCCCTTGCAACACAGTGACGGTGGTAGCAGCCCCTGATGGTACAATAACGGTCGCGGTGTGGCCATCAGGAGAGGGGTAGTGCTCTGGACCAGGGTAATAGCCCATGGAAGGGTGAGGTCCCGGGGGCGGATAATAACCTGTGAATGATAAGCAGACACACCCGAGGCCTTAGCATTAGAGTACCACTTCCAAAGCATGTGACTAACCACAGCACTTGCTGCGACCCCATTATGATAAGTGCCTTGGGCCCTCTATGTCATGCTCTGGACAAACACTGAACAACAGGCAGTTCCTATCCTAGAGACTTGCAAGCTGCTTAGAGGACTTGGCCAAGGGAGCAGCAGCAGCCAGTTAATACAGTTCCCACCTCTCTGCAGAGGGAGAACAGTCAGCTAGTGCAGCTCTGCCAGATAGTAGAGGGGTAGAGACAAAGAGCTGTTAGCAGATCGCTACAGGCCTGGGACAAATGTCATCTCCCAAAAGCAACATGTTCTCCAGAAGCACTGTGTACAAATGACACAGAGCTGAGGCTCTTTGTACCCACTATGGACTCCTCAGTGCTTTTGAACAGGGAGAAAATCTTTGCATTATCATAACTGGCATGGTATGAAGCCCTGATGGCTTGGTAGAGCAAGCAACAGCACCATGGGATTTCAGGCCTTTGTCCCTGTGCAACCAGACAGGATGCCTGGAAGGTGCATGCATTCAAAGAGGCAATACTCACCATGGGACATATAGGGCCCAGAGCCTTCTGTGGGCATGTGAGGAGGGATGTACCCAGGCTGGAGTGGAGGTTCATATGGGGGAGGCCCAAAATCTGAAGGTGGTGTGTGTGTCCCTTGAGGCTGGTTGACAGCAGAGGCAATTCCACCTGAAAAGGAAACCAGAAGGAGGAGTCTGCTTGGAGGAGGCTGTTAAGGACCAAGGGAAGGAAAGGAGGTGCAAATTTAGAGTGAAGGAGTGTAGCACAGCTGAGCCTTATTGTTCTGAGCAAGACCCCCTGGAAAGCAGGCAGGACTGACCTAGGGGAGAATTCTGGGGTGATGCTACAGGTGATGTGCTGTGCTGATGGGATCAGTTGTACTGGACAAGTGGAAACCAGGGGACATGTGCCACAGTTGAGGGAGCCCTGCCAGAGGAACCCCAGTGTCCACAATTCTCCTTGAACAGACAGGAAAAGAAGTGGGGGGAGCTCATTTTTGGGTTCAGATTAGCTGGAAAGGAGGCATAAATAGTTCTGGATGGCTCAGCATAGTGACAGGGAGCTTTATGTAAACCTCTGTTCACTGGAGTCATTGAAGGCCTAAACTATGCAAGGGACATTATCCCTGGAACCAGCTTTCATCCAACTTCTCCAGCTTGCTGCTACATCTCCACCAGTGAAATCTCCTCCCTCAGGGCTGAGCCCAGACTTCACATTTGCAGCAGAGAAGCAAGCAGCTCTGCTTCCTGGCCTCCCGGTGCTGACCCTGGTACATGATGCCCTGCTGACACAAAATGCAGGCTTTAAGGCAAGTACCCATCCCTGGAGCACTCTGGCAGGGACTGAACTTTCCCTGGGTTCACCTCCTCACACTACAGCCCAGACAGGGGGGACCCAACTGCTTACCTGAAGTAGGGGGTGGGCCATCCTTCTCCTCTATTAGAGGTGCTGAGGGACCCCCAGGATAGGGTGGGGGTGGGCTGCTGGACATTGCTTAGGACTGTTCTGCAAGAAAAAGAATTATATACTAAATAACCAGCTTTGGTAGTACAGATGCACACAGCCCAGAACTGCTGCCACTCACAGATGGACAGTAAAGAGGGCTATAGGGCTTCTGGTAAGAGCCAGGCATTTCTAGAAGCACTGTATACATGTGGGAGCATGTTCCAGCTTGTCGGCAGACACGCACCTGCAACCCTCACCCATGGGTCTTCCAAGCTAAGCAGGCTGTGGCTGGTGCCAGAATTTGAGGAAGACACATGATGCTATAAAGAGCAGTGCTCAGGATTCACCAAGGAATTTTCTTCCCTTGGAGTCAGTACTGATCTAAACCCAGCCCAGTGATAGGTGCAGCATGCTAGAAAGAGGACACGTAACTAAGCCCCAGTGGGTCCTGTGCCTGAGGGGATGGCTTGTGCCAGGTGCAGAAGACTGGACCTCATAATCAAGGCAAGAACAAACATTAACTCATGTGCCCAAATTTGCTTTTTAGTGATTACATTTCATTGCCCAACATACTCCTGCTGTTTCAGATATACTCAGGCTGCTTGCAGATGTTAAAAAACATGCTTTACCAGAAGCAGCAGCGCATTACCACAGTGTCTATATAGATTGGATCCTTCAGCTGGGTTTTATGGTGCTTTTAGCTAAAGCTGATTCAATCAGCTATTAGACAAAAAACAGCAAAAAGCCCCACTAAAGCCCCTGATCTATACAGACACTGGTGGTGAGCCAGGTCCAACTAACATGCTGCCTCTTCTGGGCATGCACTGGGTTCAGTGTGGAAGTTTAAAGTAAAAGCACTGGGTTTTTTGGTGTTTTTGTTGTTGTTTAACACCTGCAAGCAGCCTGTGTCCTGTACCAGTTTCTACCCATAACAAGTATACAGATAAACAAACAGCTGTAATTCACTGATGTAATTTCTATGCATTTCCTAATGCTTGAGAATACCCAAGATAGAGGCACTCAGTGGAAGATACCATTAGTATCACTGTGGGATCAGAGAGAAGACAAAATTATCTGAAACTCCTCAGTTCCAAGGCCCTGTGTGCTTCAGCAGTTCTGTATGTACACACTGTTCTGCATGTACACAAAAAGAAAAAACTGACACAATTTTCCCCTCATTGATCATAATCACCTCACCCAGTGGGGAAGAGCAGACAAAAAAAAGCCCAGAAGGCTTTTAAGAAAATATTTGTGCCCAGAAACATCACCTTCTGAAACAGAATTATGGAAAGTACCATCTTTAATTTCCAAAGGTTTACCTTCCTTCTTCCTAAAAATGGGTAGCTCAGAGGCTTTGATGGAGTTAAGAAAATAGAATTCTTGTCTAAGCTGTGTCGCTTGAAAGTCTTCTTGATCTGATGAAGCTCTCTGAAGAGAAAAAAACAAATAGAATTATAAAAGAGTGGAAACGCTGCTACCAAAAGGCTTGGAAAATGTCCTAAATCCCATCCAGGCTGACAGGTACTTTGTCCCTGGTGAACTTATAGGGAAGACGTACTGGGCAGAAATTCTGGATCTTGGCAGTCTTATTTTACGCTTACTGTGACTGCTTATTTTGTGGATATTTTAGTGGCTAAGATAGTCACACTCGGAGTTCCACATCCCCTTAGACTGCTGCATCAGACAGGCTGAGGTTCACAGAAGCACAGTGTTTCCCAGCAGAATAGAGTGGGCACATGTGAATTCTATGCTACCTTTTCTCTAGGGAGTTTAATTCTGGCTGGGTAGTAATTGCTTCCTTGGAGGAGAGCAATGGACAAATTATCCCCTTGTTTCCCCTTCAGATAGTGCACACCACACCCCCGCCCCCCTCATTCAGGCACCTTTTCATTTCAATCATGTCCAGGGCCTCCTGTTGGTTAATTACCATATAGGAACTGTGTCTATTACATGGCACTTTATTTTAAAAGGAGTGAAATACTTCCACCCCTCAGGCAATATGCATCATAAACAGCTCTGCAGCAGCCCTAAAGGAGCAGCACACATGACAACTGTGTCACTCCCAACAGACTGCTAGGCAGCATCACTCCACCATCACTCCCACTGAGCTTGTAAAGCTCCCATTGAGCTTACAAAACAAACAGCCCTATATTTGGAGGGCAAGAGCTCCCCATGGGCTGGCAAACTGAGAGGACTACTCACTAACCAAGTAACCACCATGGAGACCAAGCATCACCAAAGATCAGATGCGTTACAGACAACATTTCCAGATAGAAACCAGAAGGGAGCTCCCTCAACAAGAAAGCACTTGGATAAAAAATAAAACTAATCCTGCTGCAGCTCTGCAAAATTATTGTGTAGTTCAGAACCCAAATCCAAGTCCCCTCTGGATGGGTAAGGATCAGTGCTGTGGCTGAAGTTGGCCAAGAGACATTCCCCCGTGCAATGCATCTGGCCTGTCTGAGCATGTTCAGAAAGAATCTACTTCAAACCATTCATGCTCTGCTGTGATTCTGTTCCACACAAGAAGACCCATAACTCTGTGCAAGTCCTCAAAACATTAGTCATAGGGAAACCACAACTAGTGACAGTGAGGGGAGTACAGTGAGGTTGGAGATTAGAAGGAAGTACAGTGCTGATAGAGGGAAACCACTTAGGAAACATTTCTAGCATATGCTGGTACTCTGGCCTGAGCAGATGGCCAGACCTCATCCATTCTGTGACAGTGATATTATTAATCTTTTCCTGTGATTCCAGTTCAAATCCAGCCGTGCTTTTTAGATATGCAAGCACTACCTATTTAGCTAACTTTTTAGCTAAGTGATATTTGGGCAATTTAACCGAATATTAGATCCTATTCGCCCTAGGAACTTGCATAACTCCCAAGTTCTGGTCTTTGCTCCTACCTTACCCAAGTGGTGTTTCTGCATTTAATATAAAAATGGATTGCAATGAAATAGCTTTTTTCCCTCATTGGGGGCAGGAGCAGGAGGCAGAACCCAGGGCCCTTTTTCCTCTGCAAAGTTGATCTCACTGAGCCATACTCACTATGCCTTGTCCTATTTTTGACCTTCACATATATATTTCTGTCCCGGCTACTCAGTGCACTGGCTTCAACAGGAGGTAGGGAGGGAGCTCTAGGCCCTGCCTAGCCTATGGCTTGGTAGTTGGAGCACTATGCTGAGAAGTGGGGGTATGGATTCAAACCCCTGTGGGTGAAGTGGCCCAATAACCTGGATCTCCTCCTTCTGAGCAAGTGGTGCAACCGTTCAGTTGTTGGGCTAAAGGTGGCACTGGAGATGAACTTATGCACATGCTAAATTCCTAGATTAACTAGGGTGACCATATGGAAATTCCAGGCAACCAGGACATTCAGGACACTCCCCTCCCTCACTCCAACCCCTGCCAAGTCAGTGGCACTGCTGCAGGCAGTGGCAGAGGCTGGTGGGCAGGGGTGCAGGTGAAGTCTGGAGGGGAGGCAGAGCTGCCTGATGCACCATGCCACTCTGCCTCCTTGCCAGGCTATGCCCCATGCCCCTCCAATTACAAGACTCCCGTTTTAATTTTTTACCAACCAGCCAAGAGAGGCCTTTGAAATCTGGGACTGTCCCAGGCGAACTGGGACATATGGTCACTGTAAAATTAATCCAATAAGCATACGGGAATGCTGGAAAGCCAAGCCTCCTCACTCACAGTGGACAATGCCACTGAACTATGACCTGAGTTGCAGTAACATGTCAAGATGGTAAAACTCTCTCAAAGAATCCAAGCAGAGCATGCTTTGCAATAAATAATCCAAGGAAGTGTCCTGGCCCCAAGACAGAAACAGGGCTCAGCAACACTCTGGCTGATTACATCTGGAAGCACATATAAAATTGGAGGGAGATTCAGCTTTCTTCTGTGGAAAGTTACCACCCAGCAACCAGCAGGAGCATGGCAGAGAGAGGGGCAGTGCAGTGACTTTGCTGTCTCCATGGGAATTGTCTAGTGCTGCTTCCACAGGGCACTGCTAGCATTCTCAGTTCATTATTCCCCCCCCCCATTATTAATCTCTAAGGAGCTGGGAAATGAGGCTAGATCATATCTGCTGTAATTCATCTACTTCATTTGGACCACAGATATTGCCTTGGCTGGCACAAGGACTGCACAGAGGTCAGTCTTGGTTGATCCATACTCAACCCTCTCAGCCAGCAGGTGGCAACAGTCTAAGCCCCTTGCAAATTAAAGATTTTTTTTGCAAAAATCTTGCTGGTCTAAGAAAAGAGATCATCTCTACTACAAGTTCTGACTACAACCTGGATACCTAAGCCCCTTGCTTCACACTCCAACAGCTCCTGAAGCCCACATAACTGACAGGAGACCAGCCTTCACTCCAGCTTGTGCTGTGGTAGAAAATTTGACAGACAAGATGAACCAGCTCTGTTTGAAAAACAAGCAGCTCAGTCTGTCCAGCTCCAGGTACAAATAAAGTGTGCAGAACACAGTTATCTTGGGCATCTGTTGCTTCTTCTGCTATAATTGAGATTCATATTATGCCAATGCAGATTTTGTAGACTGAACATGCAAAGCAATTACTCCTGGTAGATGATCTTGGCAAAGCTTCTTTGCACATGGGCAATTGCCAGCATTTTGCTCATGTTTGTTCAAGTAGTCCCTTGAGTTGAGTTAACATAATCAATATTCTCCAGAGGAATGTGGATGGCAGTGAATGGCTCCACTACAGCCAACATAGCCACCTATGTTCTTGTCAAACTGCTTTCAATGGTTCTTTCAAAGACTGAAGGAACAGTCACTTGCTTTTTGCTCTGACCCTGAGCCTCTGCAGCAGCTATTTATTTTATATGCCATTTGGTCGATCAACGCTGGTTTTCTTCAACACATCCATTGTCATGCTGCACAACGAACAAAGCAACTTCTAACCACCTGCGTATGAGGTTCCTACAGAGAACTGCCTTACATGATCCTGAGCTGATATATATTTAGCTTTTTTGGATTTCTTTTCACTCATCATCTTTAGACTGCAGCATTGCATCTGGCTTCTTAAAAGATGGTGCCAAAATCCTTTTGTTTTCCTGACTGGTGCCTTCAATGAGTCCACATCACTAGCTCAGCCTCTCAGGAGCTCTCTCTCAAACCACGTGCTCTATGGGTGCAAGGATTGCTGTGCTTTTTTGGTATTCTGGTAAGCTCTCTTATTTTTGGGGTGATTCCACGCAAAAGTATGGGAAACGCTGTTTTTCATGCTTTCCGTGAAAATCACAAAACTGAGATTTAAGTAGGTCCCTAGTGAAAACACGGCCAGGTCTAAATTCATGGCCTTGCACACAGCTGGAGGGGAATTTTGCTGCCTGGCAGAGCCCCTTGTGAAGCACTGGGACTCCAGCTGCCTTGGGAGAGAAGAGGGACTTGCAGGTGCTCAGCAGCAAAATGGAATTTCTGTTTACTCTATTACCTCCTCTCTCTAAAACACTTGCCTCAGGCAGTTGCTGAGCCCTGTGGCTTCCAATAAGGCCTTAACCAGGGCCGCCCACAATTTTTTGGGGCCCCTGAAAGAAATAGTTCTGGGGCCCCCTGATGCAAAGAAGCTGGCGGCAGGAGGTGGGTGGCTAGTGGCTGAAGAAGCCAGCGGCAGCAGCATCAACACCCGGGAGGGGAGGCAATTGGCTGGATGTGAAGCCGGCGGCAGGGGAGGGGGGTGGTGAGCGGCTGGACCTGAAGCCAGCGGTGGCATTGGCCATGTGGGGGAGGAGGCGAGTAGCCTGACGTAGGGGGCCCCTCGGCTGCAGGGCCCCCTGTGGCCACAAGTGTCGAAGGATAGGATGGGCTGGCCCTGGCCTTAACACAAGCATTAGCAACAGAGCAAGTAGCCCAGTGTGGACAAATTCAATACAACAGACACAAATAATTCTTATATAGCACCTGTCTCTAAGCCAGTGATTCTCAACCAGGGTGTTACAAGATCCTGTGAAGTGTGCCCTCAGGTATGAGGAGGTAAGCAGCTAAGCACAGGCTCAGGTCAGCCTAGCTGTTCTCCTACCCACACAATCTAGCCCAGAGGTAGGCAAAAATATGACCCACAGGCCAGATTCAGGCCAGTGGAGGGTCTTTGTCGGGCTCATGGTGCATCCTTTAGTCCCTTCTGGCTCAAGTGCTGTCCAGCCTGTGGCATGTGCTTCTGCCCCCTGGGCATGCAGCAGGGCTGGGGGTGGCTCTGCAGCTGGACTACCTTTCTAGGCAGCCCAAGTGGCAGCAGCTCTTTCTGGCTGCCACCTCCAGTGGCACCAGCCCTGTGGTACTGGCATGGACCTGGGGCACAGCCCTTACCCCAGCCCGCCCTGCACTGCTTGCCCATGCCAGGCAGTGGCTAGGCAGAAGCTGCTGCTCAGCACAGGGGAAAAGCAGCCCCACCTCCTCACCACAGCCAGGCC